TCATTATTAGAGCAATGCCATTTATACTGCAACAGCTGAAGTTGTGTCAGCATGTTATAATCTACAATTTTCAGAGGTTTATAATTCGCAGTATGAAATTGCTGCAAAGCAGGAATGTTGTGACAAAACGACACATTTATCTGTGGTGTAAGCAGGGGCAAACTCATTGCCTGACTACAATACCCGCTTCCTCCAGGGATGAATGAGTTCCCAAAGCAAACTGCTCTTACACTACAAATTTAACTAGACAAATGATTGAATGAGGGCTCTATTAACATGCGTTCTATAAAAGCTGCATTAGAAATAATAGCAACAAAATATTATTTTTAGGAGCCTTCAATTTGCACTAGGCCTCAGGAAATGATGAGATGGACTGAAAGTAAAATGAGCTATTTTTAGAAAAGTTCGTTACGATTTTGGCATAGCAAGCTACATTTTTATCTTCTTTTTTCTATTCTTCAAACATTTTCCAAAAATATAATCCAAAAAAATGCAATGATGCTAAAACAGAATCAGAAATCCCTCTGTATCTGTTCTCTTAACAACGTCAAAAGGTGATGCAATCCCACCATGGTTTCTGTTTCTCTGTTTCAAACCTTATTCCTCTCCATGCTCAGCACAAAGTTGCAAGAGGGTGAATCACTGAGCCCCTCCACCCACTCCAAACAGTTGTTACAGCAGGAGTTATTCACTTAAAATATAAGTCCAGGCAAATTTTTTCAACTGTTCACAGGAGCGATGAATAGTGAGAGGCTAAAGCTGCAGAGTAAGACGACCTGGGGTGTGATGAAGCTTTTGGGTCACTGAGACGCGTTTCCCACCCACCAGCCCATGGAGCAGCAGAGGCAGCAGGAGCTCGAACACCGCCTGGAGCCTGGGCTGTACCTGGCTGCAGTGCCGCCAGGCTCCTGCTGAGACTGGACATGCAGTCATCCCCTGGACATGCAGTCATCCCTACTAGAAACATGCTGTTGAGTTCAGCAGGTGTTTTGTGAATATGACCCACTGGTGTGGGATCCTGCAACTATGGCAAGTGAGGGTTTGACTGGGAGACGTGAGATAATCTCCTTCCTGAAAACGCACGATGACAGTACACCTCAATTTCAGATATTACTTTTATAGAAGCCCTTGAACTTAAAGGGGTATTTTCCCAGCTCAGCACCCAGTCTTTGGTTTCATATAGTTCTCATCAGTGTCGTATTTAAATGTTTTACAAGTGAATAAGGTCCAGATCCCCAGCAGCCTTCCGGGGACACCGCTTTCCCTCCTGCAGCTTTGGTGAGACAGACTCATCAACCTGCGGGTGCTTAAAATGCTGCCTAAGTCAGATCCAGATTCTGCCCCTCTGAATTGCTCTGGGAATAGTTCAAATCCACTCACTCCATTCACATGGGAATGGAAAGGAGAGAGGATTGAGCAAAGGGCAGAGGGAGTACTGGCCAATTCCCTGATCCTGAGCTGCCCAGAAGATTAACTCACTCGGTCAAACTACACTTGCACAAAAGGCATATCACGGTCTGGGTCTTACCACAGCAAACATGAGTGTAACTGTATGCCATTCTCT